AAAATTCTAAAGTTTATACTAAATAAAGTGATTTAAAAATTTGAAAAAAAATTTTTGAATAGAGACATGAAGAAGATTACTGGTGAATTAGCTTAATGCACACACAGCAAAGATTCATTTTTCATATTACATTTTATTTTTTGGTTAGGTCTATTTTTGATATGGATAAATTTTGGTTATGCATTTTTATGCATATGTGTGGCCATCTGTGTGTGTTTATGTGTTCATGGATATATGTATGACATTAAAGATTTTTATTTAAGGAAGGATTAAAATACAGAAGGGAAAAGGAATGAAAATGTAACTTTATTCTTAATATTTTACTAAAATTTTCAGGGAAATAGCCAGGTGTGGTGGTGCATGCCTTTAATCCCAGCACTGAGGAGGCGGATCTCTGTGAGTTCAAGGCCAGCCTGGTCTACACAGTGAGTTCCAGGCCAGCTGGGGCTACAGGGAGACCCTGTCTCAAAAAGACCAAAAACAAAATATTCAGGGAAAGTGACTATAACAAAAAATGGATCTAAAATAACTTACTATCACCAGTTGGATATAGTTGCACATTTTACCCATTTCTACAAAGCTTAGAAAATTGCTCATGTTAACACTTATTAATTCAATCTGTGTTTTTTAACTCTGAGTAATGGATAACTTTTTAAAAGTTGAATTTTATTTACTAATCTGGAAAACTTCATGTTTGTTTATAGGGCATTTATTCTCAGTAAGCTGTCCTAATTAAAAGTCCCACACTGGGATTGGCTGTGTCAACATAGGTGTGGCATGAACGAGGTTAACAGATATCCGGATAGTCTGAGTAGTGAAGACAGCCAGTGTCAGTACGCAGCTCAGTCCTTCCAAGGTTTGTGGTAAGTTTCATTTGCCAGCCTTGTCGGGATAATTACACCAGATTTCCAGATCATTTGGCTGTGTAGACATAGTGATTTTTAGCTCATACTCAGCAGGCTAAAAGCAAGCCTGACTTGCATAATTAGTGTTCTGCCATTAAAACATCCGTCTGTGAGCTAGCTTAGGAGGATGCTTTGCTTGAACTTGCCTTTGGAGTTTCTTATGTAGATTAATGCTTGCCAACAATGACCACGGCATTTCACGGGCCTGTGTTTGAAACACATATCCTTCTTAACGTCCCTTTCAGTCCTCCTCCTTCCTTTTGATTTCTTTTAATTGATTTTCATAAGTCATATAGTGCTGGACCCTGATGGAACCATAGCAATAATTATAATTCTAGTATTCCTCAACTTCATTAATTTCTGTAACGTATATCTAGTTATATGATTCTTCATAAATTCTCTTTGAAAAAACCCCAAATTAACTCACTTTAGATGCCTTCTAAAAAGTATATTTATGGTTATAGATTCAGTGAACTGATTATTTTTTCATGATAATAAAGTTTGCAATAGATCAAATGTACATATATACCTCCTCAAATCATGTCATTTAACTTCAGAAAATATGTTCTATCTAGTCTTTAAATAAGAGAACCAAGGCCTAGCAAAGTGTACTGATGTTTTCTAGAGACTCATAACAAGCTGGGAACAGTTAATAGTTGAAACCATTCTTTTGGACTCTTAAATCCAACCAAACCTTTTGTGTTAACTACACTGATTTAGATTCGACACTTATTTGGTAAGGCTATCAGAAATAATCACCTAGTAAAATATAGAAAAACCATCATCAGCAAAGAAATAAAAATAGACCATCTTTCCACTTTGTGTCCTTTAATTCTCCTTAGACTCCAATGGACCACAGATAATTCAAGACAGTGGCCCTCAACCAAAATATTCATACAAGAGCTCACAAAGACGTCTCATGGGCAAGAATTCTCATGAATTCTTCTCTAAAGAAGGATCGTGACTAAGGCATTCCTATTCAGAACATCATTTTTCTTTCACGCGTTTCATCTCCCTGCATTTTATGGGATGCCTTTCCTCAGCATGAGCACAGCCCAGTGACATTGAATATGGGGATAAACAACAGAGTACAGGTATTGCTTTTGATGCAGAAAACTGAAAAAGTTTCATGTCTAAGTAGCAGTTCTTTGTCTTCCACAAAGACGAAGGGCACTGAGAAAATTCTCAACTGACAAATGTTCAAAAAATAAGTTTTACATGGTAGATCAAGATGTAATTTTGAGCACAAAAGTCATGTTACAACCATAATAAAATACATCTATTCCCATCTACATAAAGGATTTCTTTTAGCATTTACTTAAAATGGCAAAGAAGAATACAAGAATGGAAGTAATACTTGGCACCCATGCCACCAGGGGCCTCAGCTCCTCTCCCACTGCCGCAGTGTGGGAGGGTGAAACCCAGGCCCCGACAAGCACCTTTGTGCATGTGGTTAAAAAAAAATAGAAGTAACACTAAACCTTAACTCATTCTAGCAGTAAGTACACTTGTATCAGACCTATGGTGAAAAAAAACCCAGTCCTATCCAGCACCTGGAGATACAGCATTGTTTTACATTTATTATATTTTTTGATATTTCATGCTTATATTTAACATAATTCAATAATATAATGTTTACTAAACTGTTGACTACTAAAAGTTATACTATCTCTCCCCTATGATAAATACTATTTAGTATTTAGAAACTATTAGAACAATTTAAAACTAAATTTGTTTATCTTTTTGGTGCAGAGAAGTATAATAGGTCATTAACTGATGACAGTCAAGAGTAAAATAATACATGAATAAAATTTCACCAAATTAGGATAAAATCTGGTGAGAAAGGAAAATGAAAAATGAGTTAAGAAGTAAAAGCAAGCTGGGCATGGTGGTGCACTCCTTTAATCCCAGTACTTGGGAGGCAGAGGCAGGTGGATCTTTGTGAGTTTGAGGCCAGCCTGGTCTACATAGTGAGTTCCAGGACAGCTGGGGCTACAAGGAGACCCTATCTCAAAAAGACCAAAAACAAAAACAAACAAAAAAAACCCCAAAACAAAACAACAACAACAACAAAAAAGAAGTAAAAGCAAGATCTAAAATTCTAATTCTATAGATCTCATTCATGAATTTCTATTTTTAGGATTGTTGATAGAGAATCAAATCTCTCTGGTATCTAAATTTCACAGGAGGCATTTAAAATTATAGAATAATTTTACTTAAAAAGATTAATGTTAAAATAAGCTGTATTTTACAAGAACAATAAGTACATGGGCAATACACTTGTTAAGTAGTTAGATTTAGTCATCCCACAATGGTTTATGTACTTCAAGCCATCATGTTATGCATGAGAAAATGTCAGCAAATTTAAAATGATTTTTAAAATAACTTGGAAAACAATTCATAGTTTTTTACATCCTGAAAAATGTTAGATGTCACCTTAAAAGTCTTCAAGAGGTCACAGAAATTTTGAAATTCCTTTAGGATGTACAAAACAGAAAATTTGAAGACCATTATATTGGGGACTAAAATGTATTTTCCAGATGCAGAATTCTCCACTGAGAATGTTTGACCTTGTATTGCTTTTCCAGGGAAAATAAAGTAACTGTCTGATGAGCACACATTGATGTTTACAAGGGTGTTGTGGTCCCTGGTTATGACACAGGTGAGCCTGGATGCCCTGCCGTCTTTCTGCCTCTAGACTAACATGTACAATAAAACAGAATTATCTCAGGAAACATCCACTAGCAGTAAAGCGATCTTCCCCAGCTTCCCATAGCACTATGGAATGTAACTTCTGTATCTACCAGTTAAATAAAATATTTTCCAATTTCTTATAAACATTAGAAAAAGTCAAGGCAAACAAACTAGAAACAATTTGAATAAAAAAGCAATATGCATTCCAAAGGTTTATGTATATGCAAAATAATTATTAAAATTTTGAAGTTTAGTTTGGTATTGAAGTTCAGGCTGAGGCCGTTCTTGAACATGGATGATAAACAGCCCTGCACTGCTAATCTAGGTATCAGTTTATACTGAAGAAATGCAAATTAGTTATAATCTGTTCCAACGACAGTGTTTCATAGCACTGACAGCTTATAATTGGAGAAAATACATGAAGTTTTCTGTAATGTTCTTTTCTAATTTTTATACTTTTTGGCAAGAAATTTTTAAAAAGCAGAAGGCAACTCTAAACCATTCATTTAAAATTATTAAACTATAAATTCATTTAAAATTATTAAACTATAAAAAGTTGTATATGTGTAGAATTTCCTAAAAATGATTTTGTTGAATCAAAAGTGAATGTTTTGTTTAAGACTATAAAAGCATCACAACTCTATTGTAGAGATAGGTTTTGGGTTCCACCTTAGTGCATTATGAAATAGAAATTCTGTTCTATTAAGTCTTGATTATTTTAAAAAGTAGTTAATTTTTCTTATCCCTCAGTATTTATTTTCACTTTTTGAAAACAAAAACCAAAAAATAATTAAATCTAACACAACTTGAACATTTGCAAACAAAATTCTTCTAGAGAACTGACAATCTGGAAATAAATTCAGTATCAACACCTCCTCATAATGCCTCCTTGTCCTCTATCCAACCTGCTTCATGTAGCTCCTGTTTCAAATGTATCAAAGCCATGGAAACCACAATCCTCAGTAGACAAATAACAGGGAAATTACTTCCATTTAAGAAAATCCACTTCTGTGCTGTACTTGTAAGAGATTTATTTTAAACATTTTATTGCTTGGAAAATCAGAAATCTGAGAAATTCTTCCAAGCAATTAGGGAAATATATTTTATACAAACATGAATTGCTTTTGAAAACTGAAATACATCTTCAAATATAATTGGTTAAAATAAACAAGGAAGCCAGACCAGCAGGATGACTTAGCACTTTTACACAAGTCTGATGACCTGTGTTCTAACTCCCCTCCCCACCGCCACTGAAGGAGAGAATTGACACCCTCTCCCACAACCAAGTTTCCCTCTGACCTCAAAGCTGTCCTTTGATACCGTGTATAGTGTATACACATTTGCACTCACAGTGATAATAAAATATCCATGCAATCCCATGGTTTTATTTATGTTACTTACCTAAATGACTGAAAAGCAGCAAAACTGAATTCCGCATTTTAGTGGTGTCACAAAGATGTAATATTCCAATATTAGTTCCTACTCATTGTGGAAAAAAGATTATGGGATTTGTTCATCAACAACAAAAAATAGGACAACTTGATAGAAAGGATGGACAACTAGGAGGACATTTTAGATCTGGGTGGGTATTGTGTGGTAGTCAAGTTATTTATTTAAGAGAAAGTAGAAGATGAGTTATACTTTGCCTTTGTGATAAAAATCATGCAGCAATTTATGCTTCATCCAATGTTTAGTTTAGAATATTTATCTATGGTATTTACTCTGACTGTTCCAAGCTGATTAAGGTTTAGTCATAAGTGACTAAGCCAGTAGGCATGAAAAAAAGAGTAAATTGTAACGATTACTCACTTATGCTTATTCAGGGATTTACACTTATTTTCATCCTGTGTAACTAATTTTGCCTTACTTTTTCTATAAAAGATAAATTAACTTGAGATATAATAAGGAAATAGAAAATGAACAGAATATTTTTATAACTTCTTAGTTGTTATTAAGTACTCTGCTAAGTTTTCAAGCATATTGAGACCTGTATTTCCCAAATAAATCAGGGGGAATTAACTTCTCTACACACACTTGCAAGAACCCAAGTCAAATCACAGCTGTGCATTAACATTTTATTCTAAGATAGGAAAATCCTCTTTCAGGTTAGTAATAAAGAAATTTAAGAAACTTGTAACTGCCCCCCTTCCTCCATATCCAAGCAGAACAAAAGCTCTCAGCTTCCCTGGGCAGTATGTGCAATGATTGTCTTACCTAATGCAAGTTTAGGCAAGTCTAGTCTTCAACCCATGGTTTGGCAGGCTGTGAGGTAGGAGAATCTAACAAATTAAGTGCTTATACTTTGCAGTGGAATGCAGTCTTTGAGTGCGAATGAGAATTAGCTGAATCATTCGGAAGTTTTAAAGATATAAATGAAGCCTTTACCTATATCCTGTTGAAATCCCATCAATGACAAGTCATGATATTTAACCTACTTCTAGCAAGTTTCAAACAAACTTTTAGTAAAATAACCAAACAAATGGTAATTGTTCTGGTTCTTTTTCAAGTATAATGAGCTTCAGTGTCGCTTAGCTCTACCATACAGTTGTAACTGAAAACTCACCCTGAGTTATTCTCTGGGGACACATGAAGTCTATGAAAATCCTTTTCTACAGCCATGATTGAGGGAATAGTGTTATGAGTTTTCTGTCAGATCTATTGATTGTTCAAACCATAAACAGATATGGATTCAAAAATAGTGGAAACAGAAAAAAAATGCCCTCTTTCGCAGAAATAATAATTCATTGTAAGGCTTTTCTTAGTCTGAGCGTTTTATAATTTAACTTAGAAAGACAAGATTCACATAGTAATATATTAAGAAGAAAATAAAAATCCTTGATAAAAGGTTTTCATCGTTCCCTTCCTTTTGCTCTCCCTTCCCACTCTTGATTTCTTGTTTTCTTCAAATATAAATACTACATTCCCCTTTTCCATGATCATATTTGCGAAGAAGACATACCACAACTGTCATATTACCTTCTCATATATTAGAGATACAAATGACAGTAAGTATCTTTATGATACTGAGTAAACGTCCATATAGGGATTTATTGAAGGATGGCTGCTTGCAAATCTGGTTACTTTTACATTGAACGTTGTAGAAATTCCTGAACTGTTGTTGATCTCAGTTGCCATCACTGGAGATGGATGGTCTACCAAGTTTATTCTGTTTGCCTTTATTCTATATTTACATCCAGCAATTATATGTGAAATATTTTGACAAGTTTAATGTTTTCAATCATAGCACTGCACTAAAATCACCACAGAAAAAGAAGGAAATAATTTCTTTATGATTAAACTTCATTAATCAGTAAAGATAAATAAAGGATTTCAGAGCTGGTTAGTAAGCATCTTACCTAATGATATCAATAACTTGCATGCTTTTTATTATACTGTTTAACTTTTTTTTTTTTTGCAGCTGGACATCACAGTGGCCACTTTGGGCTGCAAATAAATGATAAACACTTCACACATACTCCTTTATTTATTGATTTTTTTTTGTTTTTTTTGAGACAGGGTCTCCCTGTACCTCCAGCTGGCCTGGAACTCACTATGTAGACCAGGTTGGACTTGAACTCACAGAGGTCTGCCTGCCTCTGCCTCCCAAGTTCTGGGACTAAAGGCATGTGCCACCACACCCAGCCCTATACTGTTTAATTTTTATTTTACTTCTTAAGAACTTCTATTTTCAAAGCGTAGATAGAATGAGTACCCAATGTTCATGCTACCTATTTGGATAATTCATGTTTTATGTTCTAACTCTGAAGGAATATCATCCTATATCATTGACTTTAGACATTTATTTCTGTTATATTTTCAGAAAATAGTGTTAAATTGGAAAGAAAATGTGTTGCAAGGGAAGGCACATTGAGTGTTCCATCTCCCTGTCTCTCAATGGCCATCGTGTCTGTATCTATGTAAAATCAGGGAGCTGGTGACTAAAAGGGCATAAGAAACCATCTAGTAGATTCCTTCCTTTGTAGATGGGAAGACTGAAGCTCAAAAGACCAGGAGGATTTTGTACAAGGGCATGAGTTTGGGAGTGAAAGAGACCTAAGTATGAATTCTGTTTTGTAACAGTGTAAACTTGGACAATCCTTAAACTCTGAGCTTAGTTGCTCTCCTTTGTGAAATGGACACAATACTACTAGAAATGCCCAGGGTACTTAATTAAAATTATTTGAATGCCTTGTACAAGACACTTGGCTCTTTGTTCTATTGCCTTTTCAAGGTAGCAGATTAAATTAGAGCGAGAAATGGCATTTAGGCATTGAGCAGAATAGAGTTTGTGCTTTCTATCACAGTTTGGTAGTGAGCCTCTAAGGGAACCTCAACCTTTGGAACTGAAATTCCTCTCCCTGTCCCATTCATGACCTTTGTCAACAAACGAGACACCTTTATCCAAGGTCACAGCCTCTTCAATCTGTCCAAGTGGATGCAGGGTATGTATACGTCATTTCCAAGTTCTCAGGGGCTCAAGGTGAGACAATAATCCTGAACTAAACATGGACCTGATTAGATCACCTGTGACAGTTTACTATTAAGACTTTTCTTTTCAACAGGGAGTTGGCTAACTAGCCTCATTGTTATTTTTCTCTTGAACACTTCAAAAGTCTATTAATTCACTAGTCTTACAGTTCCTTTATTGGTTTCTCATTCCACATGACCACATTTCATCAGGGACACACAGTATAGTCATTGCCCAGCCTGGGGAAAGCCACAATGTAGAAATTTTTCATTTTAGGAAACAGAAGTCTTGGACTGGGCAAGTTTGTTGGATTCGCCAGGGCTTTCACTACTGTCAGCAATGCGGCTGCTCAGTCTTTTCCCAGACCTGAGCATCTATCTCTTGAGTCTCTCCACAAGAACTGACAGTCCTAGAGATGCCTCAATTCCAACACTGCTTAGAAACCTCAGTTTTACAATTCCCTTTGATATTGATTCTGTCTACCTCGTATCTCTTTGGATCCATGTTTTCCCACTTCCTGCCTTGCCCTTCCAGTTTCTGACGACGACGACGAGACTCTCCCTTGCATTCCCGTGTTCACAAATTCAACGTTCCGAGCTTGCTTTCTCTGTTATTTACATCCTCGAGTTCTACTTCTGCCTTTTTCACCTTGTCAACGAATGTTTTTAGTTCCCTCTTGGCCTATGATACTTTTCCTTAAATTTACTATTTTTTAAAAAAACTAATTTAACATTTTTATATCTGTTGTTCCAAAGCGTGGCCTGCATTTCCCAGTATCAGCTCACTGTCCATGAATGCACACCACTCAGATACAGAAGTTTATGAAATGGCTTTATTTCAGGGCAATACTCACCCATGTTCCCAATTTCCAGAGGCCTATTCTGAGTTCTTATTCCTTCAATCCATCTGTGGTATTTATTGCTACACTTTTTACCTACCTCTTAAAACTGTCACCTGTCGGCCTGAGTGATAAGACCCCAGCCTCCTTTAACCCCACTGGCTGTTCCTGGTAACTTCTCTCTCTACTTCTTACTCGATTTTGCTTAATGTCATAAGCGTTTGTGTCTCCACCCTCAAACCTGTTGCTTTTCCAGGTTGTAAACTTTGCAAACAGACCTGAATTTTTGGTTTTACTTGATTTCTAGCTGGTAAGTCTACCACAGCAGAGAGACAATCAAATTTACGATAAATATTTATTATATTGCTTGAAAAGGTGTAATTCAAGACTTCTTTTTAAGCTGGAGAGTCTAAATTAGTACAAAAACTTCATTTATTCAGTGAAATAATTTGGACATAGTAATTACTAATTAGGACAGATTCTAACTTGTACTGTAGACTGAAATAAGAAAAAGCAGGGCTGGAGAGATGGCTCAGCAGTTAAGAGCACTGACTGCTCTTGTAAAGAACCCAGGTTCGGTTCCCAGCATCCACATGACTGCTAACAATCATTTGTAACTCCAGTTTTAGGGGCTTTGACACCCTTTTCTGACCTCTATGGGCACTTCACTTACATACATGCAAGCAATACACATAAAATAAATAAATAATAAATAAAACAAAATTTTAAAAAAGGGAACTTTATTGTTAATATGTGGCAAAGTTATCAAAATCTTTTTGTCTGTTATTTTATTCTGTTTTTTAAGAGACTTATTTTATTTTTAATTATGCATATATGTATATGTCTGTGCCTATGAATGTGGGTGCTCACAGCAGCCAGAAGAAGCATTGGATTCCCTGGAGCTGGAGTTGAAGGTCGTTGTGAGATGCCCTATGTGGGTGCTGGGAATCAAACTCAGGTCCTCTGGAGGTGCACTAAGTGGTCTTAACACTGAACCATCTCTCCAGCACCGATTTTCATTCTTATATTTTCCAAAATAACAGCAATTCCTTAAATTTTCTCCTTCTTTCTTCTCTCTCTCTCTCTCTCTCTCTCCTCTCTCTCTCTTTCCTCTCTCTTCCCATTTCTTTCCTACATAATGGAGAGATGATCAGTATTACAGGAACATAAATGATAGATAGGCTGTAGTTAGCATATATGTTTACCTAAA